ACAAAGAGACCAAAGATAACACTGAAGGAGCTGCAAAGCTCCACAGCGGAGATTGGAGTATATGTCCATAGGACCACTTTAAGCCGTACACTCCACAGAGCTGGGCTTTACGGAAGAGTGGTAAAAAAAAAAGCCATTACTTAAAGAAAAGAATAAGCAAACACATTTGGTGTTTGCCAAAAGGCATGTGGGAGACTCCCCAAACATACGGAAGAAGGTACTCTGGTCAGATGAGACTAAAATTGAGCTTTTTGGCCATCAAGGAAAACGCTATGTCTGGCGTAAACCCAACACCTCTCATCACCCCGAGAACACCATCCCCACAGTGAATCATGGTGGTGGCAGCATGCTGTGGGGATGTTTTTCATCGACAGGGACTGGGAAACTGGTCAAAATTGAAGGAATGATGGATGGAGCTAAATACAGGGAAATTCTTGAGGGAAACCTGTTTCAGTCTTCCAGAGATTTTAGACTGGGACGAAGGTTCACCTTCCAGCAGGACAATGACCCTAAGCATTCTGCTAAAGCAACACTTGAGTGGTTTAAGGGGAAACATTTAAATGTCTTGGAATGGCCTTGTCAAAGCACAGACCTCAATGCAATTGAGAATCTGTGGTATGACTTAAAGATTGCTGTACACCAGCGGAACCCATCCAACTTGAAGGAGCTGGAGCAATTTTGCCTTGAAGAATGGGCAAAAATCCCAGTGGCTAGATGTGCCAAGCTTATAGAGTCATACACCAAGAGACCTGCAGCTGTAATTGCTGCAATAGGTGGCTCTACAAAGTATCCAACCTGCCTCACAACCGCAGAGCACGTGTATGGCGTCGTGTGGGCGAGCGGTTTGCTGATGTCAACGTTGTGAACAGAGTGCCCCATGGTGGCAGTTGGGTTATGGTATGGGCAGGCATAAGCTACGGACAACGAACGCAATTCCATTTTATCTATGGCAATTTGAATGCACAGCGATACCGTGACGAGATCCTGAGGCCCATTTCATGCCATTCATCTGCCGCCATCACCTCATGTTTCAGCATGATAATGCACGGCCCCATGTAGCAAGGATCTGTACACAATTCCTGGAAGCTGAAAATGTCCCCGTTCTTCCATGGCCTGCATACTCACCAGACATGTCACCCATTGAGCATGTTTGTGATGCTCTGGATCGACGTGTATGACAGTGTGTTCCAGTTCCCGCCAATATCCAGCACATTCGCACAGCCATTGAAGAGGAGTGGGACAACATTCCACAGGCCACAATCAACAGCCTGATCAAGATGTGTCACGCTGCATGAGGCAAATGGTGGTCACACCAGATACTGACTGGTTTTCTGATCCACGCCCCTACTTTTTTTTAAAGGTATCTGTCACCAACAGATGCATATCTGTATTTCCAGTCATGTGAAATCCATAGATTAGGGCCTAATGATTTTATTTCAATTGACTGATTTCCTTATATGAACTGGAACTCAGTAAAATCTTTGAAATTGTTGCGTTTATATTTTTGTTCAGTATAGTTACATACCTGTAGTATTGTGCATACAGCCGTCACACACCCCTCCCCCTCCTCTGTAGTGTTCAGTGGGGTGGGCGTCGGCTGTGATGTCATAGTGACAGGAGAGGGCGTGGCCATGGCAGTCACATGGTCGACAGCTGTAGGCCTGGACCTGGTCACCTGACCTGAAGGGTTTATCATTGTAGAGTGGGGCACAGCGCTGGCACTGTAACACACACAACACATAAATAATTAACAGAAAAAAATGTATCAAATGTATGTTTTATGTACAGTAACTGTAAATATAAAACGTTATTTTATATTCTATTAAAACCAAATGGTCGTCTCAGAGGACCATTGTTAAACAAGTGAGAAAAACAGAGCTGAACAACACTGGTAGAATAGAGCACAAACAACATGTTTCCCTTATGCACCTTTTATTAAAGAGAGAAACAGTCTGTCGTTCATTGTGTTGCCATTGTGCTGTGAATATATAAAAGTCCACCCCTCACTCTCCCGTATTCACAGTGAATGTACAGACACACCACAGGGAAATCAGGTAGGGAAATTAAAAGTGACTTTCAACAACAGCGCTGTTAAAATAGGCCACTTTTATGTCAAAACATGTCGAGGTGTGAGGCGGAGAGGAAAAAAGACAAGGAATGAAAAATGTATTTTTGTGTTGGCGCTGATGCGCCGATGGTCTTTGATTCTGTTCAGCAGTCAGTACATATTATGGTGGACAAGAGGAGCATCAAATGGAATGATTAAAACTGTATTAAAAAAACATGGGCTCCCTGGTGACACGTGCACACACTCACACACTCACAAACCTGTGCTGCTACGCCACTGTCTGACACACTGAGAGATGGAGGGAGGAGAGAGGGAGGGAGGGATGAGGAGCGAGGAGATGGAGTGGGTAGAAGGAGGGATAGCTTATAGAGAGGGAGTGGCAGGACAGAACGAAGAGAGAGAAAAGGGGGAGCGGGATATAGAAAGGGGGAAGAAGAAAATAAAGACAGAAAGAGAGAGAGATGGAGGGGGAGAGTGAGATAGAAAGGGGAAAAAGAGAGAGCTGGAGGGGTGAAAGAGACACATTGAGGCAGATTGGGGCCGAAAGTCCTGCTGAGCAGAGGGCCTCAAGTCTGCAGGGAATCACTCCCCCAGAGAGAGAGCGAGAGAGCGAGAGAGCGAGAGAGCGAGAGAGCGAGAGAGATAGAAAGAGAGAGAGAGATGGTAGGAGATGGTGTAACAGCAGAGAGAGAGAGTGATTGAGAGAGAGTGAGCCCCACCCTCTTTAACATATACAGTTGAGGGGGGGTTTTTTAGGAGTAGGTTTGGGTATGTTTGAAAGATTAAGTGTGAACCTGTCATGACCAACAATCAATCTTCAGGTCAAGCTCGGGAGAGCTGGGGTTGAACAGAGTTTAAACTAAACATGAGTGTTTTTGCAAGATAAGGGATTGATTGATTGTATTACTATTGATTCTAAACTGAATAAAAGTTAAATTTAGCCGCCATCATTAGACAAAGGGAGTGGGCGGAGCGATAGAGAGCGGGAAACTGAAGATAATGGTAGGAGATCCCAAGAGGGAGGGGTTTTGAGCAAGGAGGGATGTGAATGGGACTATATAGATGGGGAGCAGAGAGAGAGAAGGGAGGCTACTCTACAGACCAGCCCAGCTTTGTTGAATTGTAATAAAGTCAATCTTGATTCTACAAAAACTCTGGAAGAACTTTGATTTTTAATAAAGTATAGTGATTATTTTCCACGAAAGGACTGGAAAGAGATTGTTGAGTGCTTCGCCATCTGAGAAAGTTTGGATGAATCACACACAAAAATTCAGTGGCCACTGTTAATACAGGTAAGCTACGTTCGTACTTTTAGCATAGAAACGGGTGTGATTCGATCAAGCTGAATCTGAGAGTAAGGTGCGGAAGGGGTCTCTCCAGTATTAAGGACTAAATTTAGCAAAAGTACAGAGTTTTTGTTGGAATGAGAAATAAGCATGCATGCAATGTTATTGTATATAAGTGTAAATAAGTTAAATCCTACGGATACCGCTTTGGACAGCTAAGATTAGCACTCCAGAGGGCTGAACGGGTAGTTGGCTAGCTCTACGGTTACCGCTCTAACGTGTTTATCATTGTTAGAGGCTGCTCGGGGGTAGGTGGTACATACATGACTAAAACGGCCTATGGGTGTTTATCATTGTTAGAGGATGCTCGGTGGTAGGTGACGCATCAGCCTGTGGTGTGGTGATGCACTAATTAGACAGGGCCAAATCAGGGAAAAAAAGTAGGTCATCCTGAGTAGGTGACACCATAAATTGGAAGTAGTGCCGGTCATCCAGAATAGGTGAACGGTTGTGAAAATAGCCACTAGGGCTTCAAAGTATAGAGAAATAATTAAATAGAGTAGGTCTGCTCATCTCGTGTGGGGGAATGGTTTGCTTGAGCGGCTGTGAGTCATTCAATGGTGATTAAGTTGTATGTTTCATCTGTCTCATTCAGGTTGCTCATTTGGTCAGCTTGATCAATTCGTTTGGTCTGATTGTTTTGTCTGACTCGTTCGGACTCAATTCGTGCATTCAATCTGTCGAATTCACTCAGTTGTTCAATTCGTCTGATACATTTGTTCGTCCTGCTGGTCATTCTGTCTGATTCATTTAAGCACGAATGGCTGCTTATCTGTGTGAGAAAATAATCCTTCAAATAATAGCCTTTTCTGTGTGGAGGGAGTGTCAGGAGAGGGACTATATTTTTAGGTCGCTTAAAGCTTCTAAGGTTGGTGGAGAAAGGGCATGCCCAATCTTGAATTAGGAAGAGGATAATTAATAGTATGTGGATATTCATTTACTAACGGAGTCTTTGCCAGGAGGGGTATGAGAAATCCTGTTGGAGGAACAGGTCACGTGTACGGGTGTGATCGTATGACGTATACACAGTGTATTTCGGACAATCTTTTAGGGTGTCATTATATTTGGGAAATTTAGGAGTAATGTAGGATTATGGTAAAATTGAACATAGTGAATGTCAAAGGTGATAGGGTTAACATTCCAAATTGGGGCACTTTTATAGAAGAAAATATTCCTGTAGGTTATACGAATATTGATTGTGTGTTGGGAAATAGCATTGTGTGAATGTGATATGAGAGTCATGTGAATATGGGAATGAGTTAATCTGAAGTTTGGAGAATAAACTGTTGATATAATGATATCTTTGTCACGCCCTGGCTCGGGGGACTCTTAAATGTTGAGCCAGGGTGTGGAGTTTCTGTTTCATTTTCTATGTTTTCGTTCTAGATCGTTTAGATCTATGTTGGCCAGGGTGGTTCCCAATCAGAGGCAGCTGTAGCTCGTTGTCTCTGATTGGGGCCCAATACTTAGGCAGCCTGTTTTCACTAGTTTATGGTGGGATCTTGTTCCGTAAGGTTTTGTGTTGTAACCTAGGACTTCACGTATCGTTTGTTTATTGTTTTGATCGTGTGTGTACTAAATAAAGAATGTACGCTTATCACGCTGCGCCTTGGTCCGCTTCATCTGTCGACGATCGTGACAGAAGATCCCACCTTAAAAGGAGGACCAAGCAGCGTGCCCAGGAGGAGAAGTTGGCGATGTCCCAGGTGGGCGAATGGTGGTCATGGGAGGACATATTCGCGGGCAGAGGGCCATGGGCAAAAGTAAATGCCCAGGCAGGAGAGGAGAAACGGCGCCAACCGTGCCGACGACGGACACGCGAGAGGCAACCCCAAGTAATTTTTTTGGGGGGGGCACACGGCCGTTGACGACGGGGCTGCTGGAGGCAGCTACAGGACGAATCGGCGGACTAGCAGAGGAGGCCACCAGGTTTGGGGGGCTGGAAGGGTGGTTGGCGGAGCCTAGAGGTAGAGCAGAGCCAACTCCCCGTACTCAGGCTAGGCAGCGTGAGACTGGGCAGGCTCTGTGTTATGCGGAGCCACATACTGTGCCGCGAGTGTTCCGGCACAGTCCTGTACGTCCTGTGCTAGCACCACGCACGTGTCGTGCTAAGGTGGGCATGCAGCCAGGACGGAGTGTGCTGGCTCAACGCTCGTGGCTTCCAGTACCCCTCCTCGGTCCCGGATATCCTGCGCCAGTGCCACGTGCTGTAGCGCCAGTACGAGTGCACAGCCCTGTACGTCGTGTGCTGATGCCTCACGCATATCGTGTGGAGATAGGCATTCAGCCAGGACGGGTTGTGTCAGCTCTCCGCTCCAGACCTCCAGTCCGCCTCCACAGTCCAGCCCGGCCTGTTCCTGTCCCTCGCACCAAGCCTGTGGTGCGCGTCGCCAGCCCGGTCCGGCCTGTTCCTGCCCCTCGCACCAAGCCTGTGGTGCGCGTCGCCAGCCCGGTACGGCCTGTTCCTGCTCCCCGCACCAAGCCTGTGGTGCTTGTCGCCAGCCCGGTCCGGCCTGTTCCTGTCCCTTGCACCAAGCCTGTGGTGCGCGTCGCCAGCCCGGTCCGGCCTGTTCCTGTCCCTCGCACCAAGCCTGTGGTGCGCGACGCCAGCCTGGTCCAGCCTGTTCCTGCTCCCCGCACCAAGCCAGTGGTGCGCGTCGTCAGCCCGGTCCGGCCCGGTCCTGCTCCCCGCACCAAGCCAGTGGTGCGCGTCGTCAGCCCGGTCCGGCCCGCTCCTGCTCCCCGCACCAAGCCAGTGGTGCGCGTCGTCAGCCCGGTCCGGCCCGTTCCTGCTCCCCGCACCAAGCCAGTGGTGCGCGTCGCCAGCCCGGTCCGGCCCGTTCCTGCTCCCCGCACCAAGCCAGGGGTGCGCGTCGTCAGTCCGGCACAGTCCGTGCCTGTTCCACCGGTGCCTGGTCCGGCACCGGTCAGCTGCTCCACACCGGAGCCAGAGCAATCCGCTCCACCAGTGTCCAGTCCAGCTCCGGCCAGCGGGGCCAGACCAGACCAGGGGCGCTACGGGGGGGTAGAGAGAGAGTGGTGGTCACGCCCGGAGCCGGATCCACCTCCGAGGCGGAATGCCCACCCGGCCCCTACCCCGTTGTGTTGGTGTGGCGCGGTCACAGTCCGCGTCTTTGGGGGGGGGGTACTGTCACGCCCTGGCTCGGGGGACTCTTAAATGTTGAGCCAGGGTGTGGAGTTTCTGTTTCATTTTCTATGTTTTCGTTCTAGATCGTTTAGATCTATGTTGGCCAGGGTGGTTCCCAATCAGAGGCAGCTGTAGCTCGTTGTCTCTGATTGGGGCCCAATACTTAGGCAGCCTGTTTTCACTAGTTTATGGTGGGATCTTGTTCCGTAAGGTTTTGTGTTGTAACCTAGGACTTCACGTATCGTTTGTTTATTGTTTTGATCGTGTGTGTACTAAATAAAGAATGTACGCTTATCACGCTGCGCCTTGGTCCGCTTCATCTGTCGACGATCGTGACAATCTTGGGGTTTGTACAACACTGCCTGTCATAGAATATTGTAAGATCAGGGAATAAGTGACCAGTCTATAAGATTCTGGGAGGATTCTATGGCTGCGGGGAAGGGTCTAGGTAGTTAACGTTGTTGTTCCGCTGGGACTAGATTATGATAAACTGATTGGTGGCAATAAAGAATCCTTAGAAATACGAATGGTTTGGTTGATACGAATATATTACAATATGATGAATTTTATGTGCGTGTAAGTGATTACTAGAGATTGGATAAAATAATCAGTGGAATATTGTATAGGTACTGACTTGCGCACCCAAAACGTAGACGTACGTGGGGGGTGGGAGACAGTACATAGATCATTTGATAGAAATAAGATTAAGCATTATAATAACTATCTATCATTTCGGAGCAGAGGTGATATAGTAAAGGAAGTTTAGTATATTGTAGGGGGAAAAAAAACATAATCCATTTGATCAAACTCGTTAGATCTGTTTCGAAGTCGATGAATGTAGATCTGACTCGGTGACTGTAAGTCATTCCCTTCGAGCATGTGGGATCTTTGTCCTGTAAAGCTATTTTCTGATAAGTGGGTTATGTGCCGGATGTTAAACCTACAGACCATTATAATTGGAATAAAGGAGGATTTACTTGTCATTTCAATAATGCATAGGTTCTGCATGACTGACTAAAATCTAGATTTTCTGATTGTAGTTCAACTATGGTTATGGGTTGCTTAGATTGATAGAACAGTCAGTGTTGATTTTGTGATGTAAGACTGGGATTTAGTAGTTTGCGTGTTTCGAATTGAAAGACTCACTTATTCAACAGGAATAGTGGGAGGAGTAAGATAGTCATTTTTTTGTGTTGCCTAATGAGTTGACAGTTTAAAACTACTGAGAATAGAGTTGTAATTTGGAATATTGAATTGAATATGGATATGAATTGAATGTATGCTTGTCAACTATAGCAAGTATTTGTTTTATTAATTAGAGCCTAATCAGAAAGGACAGTTACATAAATGTAATAGTGGACTAGCAATTGCGATAGAGCTGTGGCCATGATCTTAATTGATAACATTATCGGAAAGGGGCACAAGGGTTTTTCCGAAACGAGCGACAGTAATGGGTAGGCAAGTACGCACAAATAGGAGTGGTAAGAACAAATGGGCACAAATAGAATTACACAAATTGGTACATCAAATTCGAAGGTGGGGTGCGCAGACTGGGAGAAAAGATAGTAGTCAAACCACGATTATTAAAACAGTGGTGGGAGTAATAAATAGTAATAACATAGAAGGTAGGAGAAGTTAGGATATAAATTAGGCGTCCAGATATAGACAAGTAAGAGAGAAAGATGAAGATTAGTACGAGAACCAGCCGTATTTAAGTATAGGATAAGGGGAGATACAATAGTGGATTACACAGTGACAGGAAACATAAAAATAATAACGTATGATATAGATATACTGAAAGACAGGAAAAGAAGGTATAGGAATTTAGATACAAAAAACCTAGATTAAAGAAAATAGAAACGTGGATAGAATTAGGGGTAAATAGGGGGTGGTCTATTGACCTAGAAAGAATAGACTACTGGGAAAATACCTAGGGACAGGAAAGTGAGGGGGCTATTTTATAGGTTTGGGATAAGATAAGGGAACAAAGGAAAATAAGAGTATAATACGAAAGCACAGGGGAGCGAGTGTCTTATCTTAATGGAAAGTGAAGCAAGGGGACAGAGAGAATAAAATAATATTAAAAGGAGGGGCACAAGGGATAGAAACATATTTTTGGAAAGAAGCAGAGTATGAAGATATATTAGGGAGAAAGATACCATAAACTGAGGAATGTAAAAACTTTTAGCTGAACTCACTACAGAAATATTACTGACCCAACATCCTAAGAAAGACACTGAATCAAACATAAGGCTAAAACAGCAATCTAGTATTGTGAAAGTTGTTTTTAGCCTTACGATAGAGGTAAACGCAGAACGTTGGTTGAGAATGGTTTTATTTGTTATTTACTAATAAAAAGAGAAGTTTCCATGTTTTAGTCTGCGGGTGTTAGTGACTGGGGCTTGCTGAACTCGAGCGAGCTGTGAGGGAGTTAATGGGTTAAATTTGGTGTAGCCGGATCACTGGTTGCTGGAGAAAGGAGGGGGTGAGTGTAACCAGAGTGAAATGGCTAGCTAGTTAGCGACGCGCACTAGTGGCGTTTCAACCGGTGACATCACTCACTCTGAGACCTGGAAGTAGTTGTTTCTCTTGCTGTGCAAGGGCCGAGGCTTTTGTGGAGCGATAGGTAATAATGCTTCGTGGGAGGCAGTTGTTGATTTGTTCAGAGGATGCCTGGTTCGAGCCCAGGTTGGGGCGAGGAGAGGGACCGAAGCCGATCTGCTACATTGATGGTGTTGACCCAGATTACTGGTTGCAGTGATTGGATTATCTGAAAGGGATTGTCCTACCAACTCATGGCGGCCTAGGGTAACATGGTAATTAGTGACCTCCTTGTGAATAGATGTTTTGTTTGTTTTAACTATAATTTAAAAATAACTGTTCATCTGGTAAAGTAACGTTGGGTGGAAAAACAGAGGTAGAGGATGATAGATTTTAGAGGGTTTTCTGGGTTAAAATGAAAGTAGGGAATTGGGAAATAATAAGTGTCGAATCGAAATTGTTTGAGAAGACTGGAATTAAAATAATAACTTCTAGTAATGAGGATGCAAATATGTTATTAGTTATTGGTGGTTTGTGAATAGACTTTACTAAGGCCATGTTCTAGTTTGCAGGTAAAAGAGAGACAGTCCAGCAAGTACGAATTGAGCTGTAGGAAGCAGAGGTCTGAATAATAGTTGAATTTGACAAATTCTAATTGTTATTACTTTATTCTATAGTTTGCGTAACACCAGTGGTGTATGCAAATAGTTAATTAATTCTAAAACAATAATTTGTTTTCGGTACGTGGATCAGTGGATTGCAGGTAGTTTTAACTATTATGCTGATGGGATAGCACCAACTTTTTGTAGGTTCTGGACTGATGAAACAACACATTTATATTTTTTCTAAATCAATGCAACAGGTTGAAATGATTAGATTACCGGAAAGTGGTTATGGGTTTGTTATGTTATAGGTGTATATTCCACTTAATGAAACATGGTAATATCTGATGTGTCTTGATTGGGAGTTTCTCTTCTAGGTATGAATGATAAGGCAGATGTAGGAGACCACGTCTCAAATAACATTTTAATAGATGCTTGGGATCAAATATCACTGATTCCTTACACTGAGAAATTGACTGTATTTGCGACAGGTAAAAGTATTACATTTAGTGGGGTTTAAGAATCCTTCCGAGGGTCAAAGATAATGGATTCTGAAAGGTGACGTAAATTGGCAGTATGTATGGGCGACAGCGCGAATGATGGTTACATATAGTCAAATGGTGTATCACGCTGCATTTAAACAATTGCTGAAGGGGGTGAATTTGAGGGATGTGTGTTGTAGTAAAGTGTTATGGGCGTAGAATGACGAGAACACTGATGGGCCAGACCATCATCACATTAGTAAACTGTTTTGGGGGAGGGGGGCCACAGGGTATGGTGGAAAGTGCAACCACCGAGGCAAGAGATAGCATATTTGGGGATTTGAGTTTTCGAAAGTCACGAAGCATGTTGGCCGTGATCGAGTGGGAGCAGTGCGACTAGGGAAAAGCCTAGGGGTTTAAATCTCATGAGATTTTATTTCGTTTTATGTGCACTGGATTGTGAAATTCACCGGGGAAGGGAGCAGTCACGAGTGATGTTCTTGAGGGTTTTCTGAGTGGGGGGATCAGGAGATGTGGACTGTTAAATTCAATAGAGTGAGAATTTAAAATTTTAATAGTTTGGACTGGTTAAGAGGTATCAAAATGGAAACTAACTAAATGTGCACTTTTTCTTCCAGGAAAATGGAGTAGTGATTTTCTCTTTCTTTGAAATGTTTCCCGAGACTATTAAAAGGCCTGGCCATTTTTGTTTGTTGTTTTACTATTGTTTTTCAAATAACCACAAACAACCCACTTAGTATGAAATGTTAGCTGTATAGGATTTTTCCTTTGATTTTCTGTTTTTTTTTCACGGGATAGAAGTGATATATCTTAAAGGGGCAAGCACATGTAATTTGCGGTTTTATTTACTGAGTGAGTTTTAAGGAAATACATCTGATTTCTTTTGAAAAGAGCTGTACTAAGGACTTACTGTACACTTGGGATACAAAATGTATGAAATGTTTTGACGGTTGTTAATGATTAGTCTACTATAGAATGAAAAACTTATTTGAAGGGTTTGAATGACCTCTGACCTTTGTCCTGACTTTCTAGTGTGATTTGATCACCCACACTGGAAAACCGAGTGACATAGGATGATGAGTTTAAGGTAATTTATTATACTGAGTTAAGGGTCATTTATAATACTGATAATTATGAAGAAGTTTATAATTTGGCAATAATCCTATATATCATTCCAAACAGGACAAGGATGAAGTGAGAGAGTTAGTCTTGAATGAGGGATATTCCTTGAATAAGGTTATGGGATACAATTAAGTTAAGATATTCTCAAAGGTTGTCATTTTAATTTCATTTATTATTTTGGTTTAACAGGCAATGTTGTTGTTTTGGTTTTTGAATGCATGAATCACGATTTGAATCATGTGTCCAATAGGGGGAGTATTGG